CTCTTCTCACCTCTCTTCTCAACATCATGGGAATTACCAACCTTGGGTATTTAATTTTTTTTTTTATATTTAGAAATTAGGTCATAACATTTATTTCTGTGTATAAATTCAGGTGTGTATGTATAGCATGATGCACTTGTAGAGGTCAGAAGTTCTACTATGTGTGTTCCAAGGATTGAACTGATTACCAGACTGGCAGTAAGTGCCCATACTGACCTTGTTTGGCTAACCTCAATGTTTTTGAGGCAAGCACTTTCTTAATGAACCACCTTCCTAGCCTCCTAGCTAGCTTTCAAAAAGTGAACCGTAAGTGGTTCACAAGCTAGTACCCATCAGAATCACTTCTGGGATCCATAAAGTGCAGACCTCCATTCCTGGTCGGGCCAGAATTTGTTAGATTAGGGAAGTGAGAGCCAGAGAATGCTATCATATTCTCACAGTATATTCTGCTGACCTGGAGGCCACACCTATAAAGTCTGACACTTGTGTGCTGCTACTCAGATACCAAATATAACCTGGAAATCCTGCTTAAATGCAGATTCTAGCTGTTGGTGGGCTGGCTGCTGGTTAGAGACCATACTTTGAGTAGCATTAGGCATCCAGGATAAACCTAGGGCCCCTGGGCCACATGTGACTGACAATAAGGCTGTGGCTAGCTATGAATATGGTCCAACACAGAACTGTAACCTAGTTAAAACATATGTGTACAATATATATCTACACACACAAACACATTTGTAACTTGGTTCCATGGTTCTCAAGTGTAAACTTTGTACATGTACTTCTGTTGTTATATCATCTTGAACCAACCTTTAATGAAACCATAGGTTTCTAGAGCAAGAAAAGGATGAATCATCTGTTTCCATTTCCATATGTAGAGGAAACACTGTCTTGGCACCATAGCCATATAGTAGGAGAAAGCCAGTTTCAGACAGTGGCATGCTGAAAGATATGCAGAGGTCATGCCTACCAATACTGTCCATGCCTGCTTAGAATCACTGCCCCTTTTACTACTGAGTCTATTATAACTGTTTGGAAAAATTCCTGGTTAGGAAGGAAAAAATAAAACCTTTCTCCCGACTTAGCAAGATGAAGACAGAAAAGAAACTATAGCCTAGATTACATTTAAAACAGCTGGTTGGCAGTGTGCCATCACTTACCTGGACTATGGATATGCCTATAAATTCAGTACCTGAAACTCTTAGAATAGTTAAGTCTATACACACAGTTCCCTGTTTCCATAAACCCTAAAACTCAAATATTTGTGAAATGGAATTCATGACTGAAACAAATTCTATTTTGAGTTTCATATTTTCCTCAGCATGAAAAGAAGAGTTAGATTTCATTGGCTACCATGAAACAAGGCTGCTGGTTTGAAGATCTGTACTGCTGTGGTGTGAAATAATCTGCCCCTAATACAGGACAGGGTTTTATTTTTATTATTATTAGGTGTGTGTTTATGATTGAGTGGAGGTAGACATGCCATGGACCATATATGGGGGGGTTGGAGGAAAATTCTGGGATGGTGTGTTCTCTCCACCTTTCCACAGATGCTAGGGAATCCAACTTGGGGTGTCAGGCTTGCCTGTCAAATACTTTATCTGCTGAGCCATCTTACCAATCCAGGGGAGGCTTCTGGGAAGGCATTTCTAACATACAGAACAGCCTGGGAGTTAACAGGATTCAAGACAGACAGCTAGGTTTCTAAATAATGACAATACTGCACTTAATAACAGTATCTGTCACTATAAGACCAATTACTTAAATTCGTTAAGTCTTCCTCATCTGTGAAAGGGAGATTAGCAATATCAGCCTCAGAGTTGTGAGCTGATAAGCTTACCTACAGCTCTTGGAGTTGATAGCTCACATCTTTAATACTAGAACTCACAAGGGTGAGAGAGGATTGCTGAGTTCAAGGTCAACCTGGGCTATAGTGTGAGACCTGTCGATAAATAAGCAAGCTCTTGGCATCATAGATAACCCAACCCAAAGTGAATGTTCAGTAACTAAGAAAAATGTTACATACATTTCCAGTTGTCTGGAAAAGTTCACTCTGCAGCAGCTGAAGAGCAGATGGCCTCTGTGACGCGTTCCTCCCAGTTAGGAGCTGGATATACTTAGCTTGTACCGGACACCTTTTACTGAGGGATTCGGGTATCCGACCAGTCCTTATGCCTGTTAAGACTGTTGCTCGCTCCATTTCTGTCCTGAATGGCTGAAAAAGCTCCAGCAGGATCACACCCAAGCTATACATATCTGACTGCAGAGGTGGAAAAATGGGCATGCAAAGGTATGTTATAAAGTTAGGAGAGCACTTATAACAACATAGCCTCCCAAGTAAGGATGTCCAAGAATGAGGCTTTAGAGTATCTGCAAAGGGAACACAGCAGGTGTCTCCTGCTTCAACAGCAAATTCTGCCTCAGGTAAGACATGTCTGGGATTTCATGAATCCATCCCTTTTATACCCAGAGAGGGCATACATGGCCTTGGAGGACAATGGCTGGATAAAGGGCAGGGATGGCTCCCAACAGACAGGACAGTCAATACAACAGGGGTATCTTCCCACAATAATCTAGACCTGACAGAGTGACCCAAGCAAAATGACTAAACTCACACAATTCCTAGTATTAGCAACAGGAGACTATCACCAGGTCCTACTTAGGCTAGCCTCTACCTCTACTCATAATTGAGCACTCTTTTTATGTGAGTGGGTGCCATATATGTGAGGTTGCCCACAGAAGCCAGAAGAGGGCATAAGATAGATGCCTTGCAAGTGGATTTCCACAGGGCTGTAAGCAGGCTGATGTGGGTGCTGGGAACCAAACTCTGGTCTTCTGAGACAGCAGCAAAAACACTCAACTGCTGAGCCAGCTCTCTAGTCTAAGCATTCTTGTTAATGTTTATAAACTGCATAAAATCTGTTCTATTTTCTCTAAAAGGAGTTTATTAGGAAGATAGGCTCTTAAGGACAGCAATGAATTCTTCTGGCAACTATTTTCCAGTCACTGAAAAACAATGATTCATCAAAAAGATCATTGACTAGGCTGCTATATTGGAAAGGGGTTTAGTTTAGGAATCAGAAGCTGGGTATGGTGGCGCATGCCTTTAATCCCAGCACTTGGGAGGCAGAGGCAGGTGAATCTTAGTGAGTTCCAGACCAGCCTGGTTTACAGAGCAAGTACCAGGACACACTCTAAAGCTACACAGAGAAACCCTGTCTTGAAAAGCCAAAAGAAAAAAAAATCAGAAATGGCAGCACATGCCTGTAATCCCAGCATTTAGGAGACTGGGGTGGGAAGATCATGAGTTAGAAGCAAGGCTGGGCCTTGAAGACCATTTCTTAAAAAAGTAAAAAGGAGCCAGGCAGAGGTGGCACATGACTTTAGTCCCAGCAATCTGAAGGCAGAGGTAGAAGGATCTCTGAGAGTTGAAGGCCAGTCTGGTCTAGAGAGTTCCAGGTTAGCCAAGGCTACACAGAGAAACTCTGTCTCAAAAAACCAAAACAAACAAAAAAATTTTTTAAGGAACTTGCAACATGGCTCAGTGGCAGAATACTTGACCAGGACATGCAAAGACTCTGGTTTCACTCCTTAGCACCACAAAAAAATAAAAGCAAGTAAAGTACTAGGGGAAAATGTAGAATTTTTTAAAAGTTGAAAATGAAACTGAAAAGGCATTTAACATTTTTCAAGGTACAAAGAGGGTTAAAACTTTCTAGTGTCTCTATTCTTTTTCAGGGTTAGTCAGATGGCACACTTCCCAGTACCATCTGCTTACCTAAGCTTGACATCAGAAGGATGAAAGGCTGATGATGTCTACTTCTGTGGTGAATGGTGACATTTTAAAGGGAAGACAGACTTCAACATTTAATGACATCTATGGATTCTGAAATAGTTAAGAAGCCTAAAGGGCAACACACACGACTGAAAAGGGAATTTTATTTATGGATTTTCATTATTTAGTTGCTCTCGAATACTGGGGCAGTCTGCCCTGGCAGATCACCTGCAGGACTCAACTCTGCCTGGAACACCTGTGTCACAGAACTGTACTTACTGTTCTCCTTGTTCTAACACCTTGACAAATTCAGGGAAGGGTGAAAACAAAGACTACCTTGGCATCATACTCAGATCCTTCCAACTGTTCAGGCGATGCATACAGACAAGTCCCCACTCTGGACGTGTGTGTCGGTGTTCCTACAATTGAGAAGGCCATTAAGCTACTTACTGTGATGTGAGCAGAGCACGGCAGCTCCTGAGGGAACAGTTGCCTTTTGGCATTTGAGCTTTACTAAGAAAGTTCTATGAGTCTCTGTATGTAAGGCCATGCAAGAGACAAAATACTTACCCTTCCCATTTCTGCTGGTCCAGTCTGAGCTCTTTTGTATGATGTCTGCACAGGCCAGACCAAAGTCTCCTATTTTTACTTGCTGATCAGGGCCATGAAGAAAAATATTTCTAGGCTACAAAGAAACAGAAAAAGTCAACTCTGATTTCTTAAACAAATGTGGAAACTTGTATTAAGAACTACCAGATGTGGAGGCTCACACCTGTAATGCCAGAACTTGGGAGGTAGAGGCATGAGGATCAATGTGAGTATGATACGAGTCAGGTTTACATCGAGAGTCCTGATTCATCAAGGAGTATACAACAAAACCCTATCTCAAACAAAAAGTTGCTGGGCTAAAGAGGTGGCTCAGTGAGTAGAGTGTTGGCTTTGCAAGCATGAGGAGTTGAGTTCAAGCCCCCAATATTCAACTAAAAAGCTGAGTGTGGCTGCAGGAGTGTCTCTAACCCCAGCATTATACGGAACAGATAAAAGAGGATCACTGGGGCTTGTTGGCTATATCAGCTTCCTAGCTCCAGGTTCAGTGAAAGACCCTGTATCAAGAGAATAAGGTAGAGAGTGATTGAGTAGGCCACACAAAAATAATCCTCTGGCTTTTACACACACACATGCACATGAGCATACCATATATATACTCACACACCAAACTGAAAAGGCTGGTCACTCAGGAACAAGTTTTATTTTAAAAAATTAGAACTTAGAAGGGGCAGGGGAAGTAGTTTGGCTGGCAGAGAGCTTGCTAGCATGAGCAGTGTTCTAACTCCAGCAGTCCATAAAGGAGCACATGTCTGCACATATAGCACTAGAGGTGTGGCAAGATCAAAAGGTGAAGGCCATCCTCAGCTACAACCTCCATGTTTCAAATCACAGCAGTAGCAATATTACCATCTAATTGGGAGAAAAGATTTTTATTAAAATTAAAACATTAAAAGTTTCATTCTTACATGTAATTCACTTTTGTGTTAATATATGACCCACTCTGTTTTGGTGCTGCTAAGAGTTTTGTTTCTTAAGAAACTGTTCAGATACATGCATACCATGGTGTGAGGATGAGGGTCAGAGGACAACTTGCAGGAGTCTCACTATGTGGGTCTCAGGATAGAGCTCAGGTTGTCATGCTTGGTGGTAGGCATCTTACCCCTAGCCATTTCACTGGCCCTATTAGACTGAATTACAGTTGATGCGTAAGGGAAAGGGGAAATGATTTTAACTGTAAGACGCCAGTTTGGGTGTTTTTGTTTTGTTTGTTGTTTGTTTTTTTAATAACTGAGAAGAAAAGCTGAGAAACTGTGCTTGCACTTGGCATGTATATGAGAGAACAAATCCTCAAGAGGGCTGGTTCCATTATAGAAATCAATTCTGTTGACAAATACAATTCTAGAAGAGTTCTAGAACTTAGCTGAATGGGTCGTCATCATAAGAGAGGAAAACTGATTCCATAGCAGCATCGGCTCACCTAATAAGCTCTTGCTCTAGAGACTTTCTCATGGGGAACATAACCAAGAGGGGAAGCAGAGACCTGGTGGCTGACAATGCCATACTGCTGGAGGACAGCTTAGTTGCTGCACTGCACTCTAGACTTTATGAGGCCATAATCAAGGAAGACTGTAACACAATCAAGACACTCCTCAGAGACTACCCTGTCAACCAGCCCTTGACCATCGTGGCCAAACCTACCACCTACAGAAGACTTCTGAGCCAGGTATTTCCTGTTCTCTCAGTCACTTTAAAAAAAAAAACAAAAAACGATGGGGCTGGAAGTGCTGGTACATCCTTCTAATTCCAGCACATTGGAGGCTGAGGCAAGAGAACTGCCTCAAGCTCAATTCTAGCCAGGGATATATAGGAAGTTCTAGGTTTGCTTAAGTTACAGAATGAGATCTCTCAAGAAAACAAAACAAACAACAAAATATCAGCTAGAGGATTTGGGAAAAACAACCCCCAATGCCCTGGGGACTCCCTAAACTCCTCAGGGCTTTATGACATGTAAGTCCAGCACCCAACTCCTCCTTCCATTCACCATACACAAACGGATGGAGAAAAACATCTTGTGTGGCTGGCAGGAAAGCAACACCATCCTCTCAAAATACACCCACAGGAATTACATCATGTAAGTGAATTAGTTTTCACTTCTGATACACACTTTACTAGGTTTTTAAAGGACAATGGTTTCATTTTATTTGGTTTGAGGCAGGGTCTTAGTCTATAGTCCAGGCTGGTCTAGAACTCACTAACTTACCCAAGCTGACCTAAAGCATGCAACAATCCTTGGGTCTCTGCCTCACACGTGCTGGGTTTACGGAGTGAGCCAAGGCTGCTTGATTACTGCTTTTGTAATTAGCTTTCTTTTTCCAAAAAGAAAGCATGTTTTTGTTAGTCAACTTGTGGGTTAATTTAAGGACTAAATTATTTCAAAGCAATTTGCTACTTTACATCCTTTACACCAAGTGTTCTTTTTTCTTTTTCCTTTTTTTGTTTTTTTTTTGTTTTGTTTTGTTTTTTTGAGACAGGGTTTCTCTGTGGCTTTGGAGGCTGTCCTGGAACTAGTTCTTGTAGATCAGGCTGGTCTCGAATTCACAGAGATCTGCCTGCCTCTGCCTCCTGAGTGCCGGGATTAAGGCGTGTGGCACCACCACCCAGCTGAAACCAAGAGTTCTTTTTTAGGAATTAATTTTCAAAGCTTTGTGTTATTTCTACTGCTTTGAGAATTCATACTTATTTGGGGCATGGGCAGGATACATGGAGCCAAAGATGGCCTTTCGTTCCTGACCCACCTCTACCATCCAGGTACTATAGGGTTATTTATACAGGTGTGCACCAACATGCGTGCCCAGCTCTAAAACACCAATTTTATAATTTAAAACTCACCAGCTCTGGGTCATTTAAAACAAGCAACAGGGGGCTGGAGAGATGGCTCAGTGTTTGAGAGCACTGGCTGCTCTTCCAGAGGACCCAGGTTCAATTCCCAGCACCCACATAGCAGCTCACAACTGTCTGTAACTCCAGTTCCAGGGAATTTGACACCCTCATACAAATATACATGTAGGAAAACACCAATGCACATAAAATAAAAATAAATAAAATTTTAAAAGGGGGCGGTGAACGGGCAACAGAAAAATGATAATCTTTAGCCAGGAATGGTGCCTTTATGCCAGGCTGAGTGGCAGGCACCATGTAAGCAATGTTGTTTGTAATGCATTGTGGTTTCCCAGCAGCAGACTTACACTATACTCCCCATCCACCTGGCCGCTGAATACTGCAAGCCACAAAGTTTGCTTTGCCTGTTACAACATGGGGCTGACCCAGAAGTAAGGTAAGTTAACTCTACGTGCCATCAAGCCTAAGAGGTGTGTGTGTGTGTGTGTGTGTGTGTGTGTGTGTGTGAGAGAGAGAGAGAGAGAGAGAGAGAGAGAGAGAGAGAGATTCAGAGAGAGATTCAGAGAGAGAGAGAGAGAGAGAGAGAGAGAGATTCAGATATGTGTCCCACGAGAGAGAGAGAGAGAGAGAGAGAGATTCAGATATGTGTCCCACTCTGTTTGGAGGAAACATACTTTACTGACAAAGTAAGAGACTGAAAACATGGGACTAATACGAGAACACTAACCAGCCAGGTAAATGAACACATGAAGTAGTGACTCAGCTGTAGAAAACAACTAAGTCTGGACTATAGCACTCAGGAAATTTGACAATATGAAAAATAAGAAAGGGAAAAACAAACAGATGATGGGCTTTCTTGTGTACGACCTCCAGTGGTCACACTTCATCTGCTTCACACTCTTACCTCTGATTTTTGAACCCTATGGCCCAATAACTACATTTGGATAAATCAAAGAATTATACAATATAAAAATAATACAACTTCTGGGTACACTCCTTACCCTGCTCAGAAAATCCACCGATCTATCATGTTTGCACCCTCTCTGGTACCACCAGCTGCAGCTTGGCCAATCTCCATGGCTGGCCTGTCTAAGCCTGAACTACGAACTTCTTCTATCTCAGGGCTCCTCAAAGGCACTTTCCTGCCCTAGAAAGCACACTGCCCCTGGATGAGCGTCTACACCTTTCCACACTGCTCACAAGCAGCGTGTGTTTAGCTCTATAGCCTGCCTACTTTCCATCCCAGACTATGCATACCCTCAGGAGGCTGAGATGCCCTGCTGTTTTTCCTAGCCCCAGCCTTAGGCCCTCACACAGGTAAGTCTAGGTGAACTTATGCCAGCTCCTAATGCTTGGGAAGCAGTCAAATTCTCACGATAAACCTTCCCTTTTCACTGCCACAAACAAAGACATTTGGAGGCAATCCTGAGATGAGAGCGCACTCATTCCACCAAGGTTGGAGCAGGGTGTGAAGAGGAACTGGCTTCAGAGAAATGCAGGCGTCCAGATTCAAGTCCTGCCATTGACTCACCTACACTTGTGAGTGCATGTGCCAGGGAGAGAACAGACAAAGCAGGAAGCCGAGTGAATGGGAGTACTGGCCCTTTAATGTTCACTTCTAGGATATTCATAGTTCATACCTAAGTCCACACATTTTTACTGAATACTCAGTGAGTCAGTCTAGAGCCATGCATGATTCTGGGGATACAGAAATGACCATGGGACAGCCTTTAAGGGGCCACAGTCCCAGATGGAGCAACCAAGCTTAAATAGGCTTCACTAAGAACCTAGGCCCCACTCAGCAGAGACCCAAAAAACCTAAGACATCCATCAATACAGACTGCCAACACTTGTTTAAAATGACTAACCGGCTTAGGGAGACAACTGAGTCGGTAAAGCACCTGTCTCCCAAACATAAAAAAGACTTGAGCTCACTCCCCAGCACCTGTGTAAAAGCCGGGTGCAGGAGCTCATGGTTTCTAACCCCAGTGCTGGGGGGGGTGGGGTGGGAAAAGGGACACATGGATCACCAGAGCTCACTTGCTAGTCAGTCTAGCCGAATCAATGAGTTCCAGATTCAGTCAAGAGGCCTGTCTCAAAAAATAAGGTGGAGAACAATCAAGAAATACACTTAACCTTGACATTTGGCCTCCACATATATATAAACAAGTTCATATGCACCTGAGTGTACACACACACACACACACACACACACACACACACACACAGAGAGAGAGAGAGAGAGAGAGAGAGAGAGAGAGAGAGAGAGAGATTGAATGAGTTAATAGGTGTTACTTGCAGTCAATGTTGCCTTCCTGATTGTTAACTCTTTATGGAGAATCCCTTTGTGGAGTGTACTTGGCTTAACCTATGATAAATCCCTTCCAGGGATGATCAAGGCTTTACCACTCTTCACCAAATGCTGCTAAACTGGCCAATCACTTCTGCCTCGTGGGCCAAACCGAACACTCAGATCCAAAAGATCCTGGCAGACATTCAGAACAATGCCGTCAAGTGTCTGAGTATTTTGTGTGAACATGGAGCTCAAGTTAATGCCCCGGTAGGCAACAGAAAAAAACATTCACCCCTCCACCTGGCCATAACCTACGGGACCTATCCAATTCTCTCCCTTTTGGCCCAAAATGGTGCCCAGGTCAATGCTATTAACAAAGCCAACATGACACCCCTCCACATGGCTGCAGAAAAACTGGACAAAAACATGGTGGAGACACTTATTGCCTGTGGGGCCGATGTGAACTTCGCCATCTCATCTACTGGAAGCACAGCTCTAAAGCTAGCAGTGTGCACAGCATCAAGCAAAGCTGGCCAACTGCTGGCAGCAGGGGTGGACTGTATCCGTCTGCTGCTAAATCATGGAGCCCAAGTCAATGCCCAAGACCACCAGGGACAAACAGCTCTGCACAAGGCATGTTTTGGAGGCAGGGAGGTAATAATCAATCTCTTGCTGGAATTTGAAGCAAATGCTAACATTTTAACAAGAAATGGGGAATCGCCAATTTATATGTACCTTCAGCGCAGGTCCAATATCAGAGATGAAATGCTTCTGGCTAGGCTACTTTATCATACCTACCCTTTAAGGCTGAGCAATAAGCAAGGGATTCTACCTGCAGGAATCATGCAACCAGAATTCCAGTTCTTAAGGGAAACTCTAATAAATTTAACGAAAAAACCTTTATCCTTAGAGGACATCTGTAAGAGAAACATCAGAAATGTTTTCGGTGAGAAGTACAAATTCTACCTGAAGCAACATCTCCCTGGGAAGCTATGGAACTCCATATACACCTTTTATGATTTCGACTACCTCATGAAATGAGAACCTCAGCAACTCAAACTGTGTTTTCTGGCTAGACATGTCACTTGAACTTCATTTTACATTGCAAAAAAATTAAAGTGACTTGCACAAAATAACTTTTATTGTCTTCTAAGTTTTCATTTAGATGCCTTTCTCATATTTAATTTTGGCCTGAAAAGTAGGCTAATTGCTTTAAGATTTGTCAGCCAAAAAGCAAAAAAGAAAGTATATTTTAACCTTTTTTTTTTTTTTTTTTTTTTTTTGAGACAGGGTTTCTCTGCAAGTAGCCCTAGGTGTCCTGGAACTGGCTCTTGTAGACTAGGATGGCCTCAAACTCATGGTTATCCACCTGCCTCTGCCTCCCAACAGCTAGGATTAAAGGTGTACACCACCACTGTCTGGCTCCTTGATAGTCTTTTATGAATTAAAACTAAAAGAGTCCCCTCGGAGTTTTCTCCTTGTTTTATGGGGTGGTTTATTTTGGTTTTATGAGACAAGCTCTCACTATATAGTCCAGGCTAACCTCAAGCTAACTGATCATCCTGTCTGCTAGAATTGTATTTTCATTGTGGTTTGGTTTGAGGGGTTTGGGGGTTTGGTTTTAGTTTGGGTCCTTGAGACATGACTTACTACAGAGGCCCAAAGAGCTCTAGACTTGCCTCAGCCTCCTGTGCTCTGGGACAAAAGGTATGTGTGCTGGGTGGATTTTTTGTTGTTGTTATTTTTCTTTTTTTCAAGAAAGGGTTTTTCTTTGTACAGCTCTGGCTGCCCAAGAACTCATTCTGTAGACCAGGCTGGCCTGAAACTCACAGAGATCCACGTGCCTCTGCCTCCCAAGCAATGTGATTAAAGGTTGATGCTGCCGATGCCACCACTACCAGCAGCAGCAGCCTTTAAAAGAAAAAACAAAAACAAAAACAAAACAAAACCCAAAAAACCAAAACAAATCATCTCCTGGAAACAGATTTTAATCTCTAGGGCTACAATAACTTATGACCACTTCTGCCAACACAGAGTATATTTACCATCACCTATTATATTAGTTATCAGTACATGTACACCTACTGTTTTCATACTTCAAGCCAATATTCAAATGACCCCAAATTACTGTTTTCAAATTCAATTTAGGATTTCTCTTTAAGTATGGGAGTGGTTTGGGGAGGGATGTACACATGTGTGTTTATGTATACAGAGGCCAAAAGTTGACATTGGGCATCCTCAACTAATCCACTTGACTGAACAGCCAGTGAAGCCCAGGAGTCCTCTTGTCTCTGCTTCCCCAGCACTGAGATTATTTATACACACATGCTGCTGCACCTGGCTGAATTTCCAGGCAGATTCTGGAGATATAAAGTCAAGCCCTCATGCTTACACAACAAGCACTATTTTGACTCTAAGAGTTCTGGACTTCTGGAATAACAATTTACAGGACAGCAATAACAACCTACTAAACAGAAGAATGAGAGTATGTCACCTCAGTGTATTCCATGAACCCACATCAAGTTATCCCTGTAAGACACCACTGCTGTGCTCACAAATGGAGTAGTCTGGCTTACCTTCAGATCTCTGTGGACTATGCCCATGTTATGTATGTAAAAGACACCCTCCACCAATTCTTGAAAAATTTTCGTTGCAACACTGGCCATAACGTAGGGACCTGGAATTTTAAAAACAAATGGTTTCATATCCCTATTTCTTTGCACTAATTAAATGGCATTAACATCTAAATGTTAAAAGTTCTCAACTAATTAATCTTGGACACTTCAACAGTCAAACACTACAGAATGTTCTAAAACACAGAACTAAGGAGGAAGGATTCTTTGCTAGCAAAGAGAAAACATCACAGACTGAAAGCCAACATTAACACCGTGTTTCCAAAAAGGAATTAAGCTCAGTCAGAAACTTCATATTAATGACTTTCTAAACAATTACCAGGTGGTATTAAGTGACTAAATTACAGCTTCAAAATTCTTTGACCCTTAACATACTGGAGTCTAAGGCTAATCTACTGTCCTAGCCCACAGTGGATTAAGACATCATTACAAACACTGGACTAAGTAAGAAAAAAACATAAATTACCCAGGCACAGCAGCTCATGTTTATAATCTAACACTTGAGAGGTGGTAGAAAGAGGACCACCTCTAGTTCTAGGTCAACCTAAACTACGCAGTGAGACCCAATTCCTTAAAAGGAGGTTGGGGAAGATACATTTTGTTCACAGTATAAGCTTCTATCCATTATTTATCAGATTTGGTAAAAATGACTGATTAATGAAGAATACAGGAGAGATAAACAGTTCACTTAGATAGTGGAGTGGTTTTCAATGGTTTTAAGACACATCCAGCCTGAGGCCCATTGACGCATACATCCAAAGATAGTTATGAATGCAGCCCAACACATTTGTAGAAACGAATGTCATATTACAATGTCCAAAGTTTGGATGCCCTGTACTAAAATAACAACTAAAAAAAAAAAAAAAAATTAAGGACTTTTCCTAACAAGTTTAGTAACATGATAATAGAAAGGAGGGGTTGTAGGGTTTGATTTTTAAAATTTTATTATGTGTATACATATGCCACGAGCATGTGTGAAGGTCAGGGCAACCTGTGGGGTTAGTTTTCTCCTACCATGCGGGTCCAAGGGACCCAACTCAGATTGTCAGGCTTAGGGGATAAACAACTTTACCATGAGCTATCTCACCAACACCTTTTGTTTATTGTTGAAGAAAGAGTCTCATTTTGTAGCCTGGAACTCAAGACTGCCTTTTACTTCAACCTCAAGTCCTAGGATTGAAGGTATACGCCATCAACCAAATGGCTACAGTAAGAGCCCAAAAACAAGGGCAGGCATGATTGGTCTATGTCTGCAATCCCAACTGTCATTTCCATAATTCCTCTGGCTAGAGACACATTTTCAGTCTTTTCTGTCTCTAAGGACACTACTGTTTCAGAAGGGCTTGTCAGGTACTTCAAGGCGGGCAGAGCTTTGGAGCTCACTGGCCAGCCAACCCAACTAAATCAGTGAGCTCCAGGTTCAATGAAGACACACAGCCTCAAAAATAAGGTGGGAATGACTGAGGAAGACACCTAAAACCAATCACTAGTCTACACATACATGCAAATGTTCATATACCCACACAAACATGTACATATATACACCAAAAAATTTCTATCCAAACATTAATGATCTAAATTCTATATTACTATTTAAATACTGTCTTTGTTTCTTTTCCCCTTACCATCATTAAAAAGCCCTGATAAAAGCAACTCAAGGGAGAAAAGGCTTATTTCAGCCCACAGTCCATCACAGGAATGCCAACATGGCAGGAGCTTGAAGTCACTGGTTACATACTGCCAGTCAGAAGTCGGAAAGCAATGAACGAATACAATCAGGCAGCTTACTTTCTCTCTGTCATATAGTCCAGGGTCACAATCCAGAGAAAGGTGCCACCTACAGTGGGCAGGACTTCCCACACTGCCTGCCTAATCAAGATAATCCCCTATAGGCATATCCATCCAGAGGCTAACCTACCCTATATAATCCCTCACAGGTATGTCAGAATAAATCCAGGTGATTCTAAATCCTGTCAAGTTGACAAGAAACATCAACCATCACCAATACCAACACAGATAACTACCAAATTCATAGTTGGTTCTGACAAATAATGAAATAAACAGATTTGCAGATGGTACTTACAAGCAGCTTCATCCACGTACTCCTGGCTCCGCTTGTTCCTCTCACTTATCCAGTCCCACAGGGAGAGCTCACACAGCTGCATCTGGATGTGCAACATCAGGTGGTACCGAACCTAGAAGACACACAGCATGCTTCCATCTGCCACGTCTCATATTCTTCATTTGTCAGCAAATATTCCCTGGCCTATGTTAGGTCAAACACCATGACTAACTGTGGCCTAAAGTCTCCTAAAGGAAAATGATTAACAGGGATCAATAGAGTAGCCTGAGGCTGGAGATGAGGCTCAGTTGGTAAAGTGCTTTGCTTAGCATGCAAAAAACCCTGAGTAACCTATGCTAGCTTGTTTTCACTTGATATTATTATTATTTTTTTAACCTGAGAAAGCTGCATTTTTATTCTTTTTTTTTCCTTCCATTTTTTAAAATATAATTACAAACAAGCTTGTTTTACATGTCAATCCCAGTTCCCTCTCCCTCCCCTCCTTCCCATCTTATTTTTTTATATGTCTGTTTGTATTCTACTGAGACAGAGAGGGTGTGCATTTGGGTGGGTGTGGAGTTGGGGGAGGGGAAACAGTAATCAGAATATAATTTAAAAAAATCTATTTGTAATTAAAAAACAAAACAAAATGGTGAGATCTCTACTACTGCTCCTGCACCCTGCCTGCCTACCTGATGACAGCTCCCTGCCATGAAGGTTATGGACTCCAACCCTCTAAAACTGTGAGCTACAAATAAACTTTTTCTTCTATGAGTTTCCTTGCTCATGGTGTCTTATCACATCAATAAAAAAGTAATTGAGGCAGTTGACTTCTTTACACTGTGTCTTGTGGGATATTTGTACACTGTATGAGAATGCATTGTTGTGACTGGCATAATAAAGCTGAATAGCCAATAGCTTGGCAGGAGGTAAAGAACTTCCAGGCAGAAGGAGAACTTGAAGAAGGAGGAGTCACCAGTCAGAAGCAGGGGAAGCAGTATGGAGAGATGAGGTAATGAGCAGAATGCAGATTAAAATAAATGGGTTAATTTAAGTTTTAAGAGCTGGTGGACAAGCCTAAGCTAAGGCTGAGCTTATCTGTGAGCCAGCAGCCCAAAGGAAAATCCAACTACAGTGTTAGCAAAGAGAACAGTAAGGCTGGGCGTTGGTGGCGCACGCCTTTAATCCCAGCACTCGAGAGGCAGAGGCAGGTGGATCTCTGTGAGTTCGAGACCAGCTTGGTCTACAAGAGCTAGTTCCAGGACAGCCTCCAAAGCCACAGGGAAACCCTGTCTCGAAAAACCAAAAAAAAAAAAAAAAGTAAGCTTACTGCAGCCAACCGAATTCAGCATTAAGAAAAATGTTCCATTTAAAAAAGCGTACACACACACACACACACACACACACACACACACACTTACTTTCGTAAGAATTATTTTTC